AGATTCCCTTATGTTTAATGCAGAAGAGGGCACAGACTGAAAAACTACAGTACCCGGGACAACAGACGCAAGAGCGTTTCAAAGGAAAAGTCACCGCAGTGGTGAAAGAGCTCGTGGAAATCATCACATTCTCATTACTCTGTGATGGATGGGGCTTCGTCTGTTTAAAAAGGTGTTTCTCAGGCTCCTACTTGTGTGTCAGGCACTGTGCCAGGCACAGACCTGGTCTTGGCTCCCTAAAGCAGGTATCTGTAGCGTGGGGTGGGGGGCTTGGAGTTTCCTAATTTGTTTTGTCACAGGGCAGGACTCCCACTATTTGCCATCCCTTCTCAACCTGCAGCGCAGCTGGCAGGAGAGCAATGTGGCCCATCGCAGGAGTGGGTACCCGGCGCCTGATGTCTTAAGTACACTGTGGACTCAAAACAGCAGCCCTTTCCCCAGCAGGCTCGTGCGTCTCCTGGACAATTCTGCACACCCAGGGAAAGGCAAACTTATGAGTCCCTTCCGTAGCAGCCTGACACAGGTGGCGTATCTCCAGTGAGCTGACACGCAGCTCCATAAATCACGGCAAGGAATGGCTAGATGTTTCCTAGTTGTGAGACCTGCAGGTCCTCAGCTTAGGAGCATGCAGCTTCCTCCTATAAGCAGAGGCTCTCTCAGCTGGAGGAAAACACCATATCAATCTCTAAGCTTTACAATAAAAAGTAAAATATCTTGCCTGTTTAGCCAAAGTGGCTGGAGAGTGAGATATAGAATTATCAGAAGGATAAGCTCATTCTTTCCCTCAGTTTATATACAGTGTCAATTTTCCCATTCTTAAAAAAAAAAAAAAAAAGATTTGCTCCATTTTGTTTCTTGCGTTAGTTTCTTTGCAGTCCAACTCTCTCCTTGACAGAGTCTCTATCAATTCTTGCCCCCTTAACCCCATAAAAACTGGCTTCATTCACCAGTGGCCTTTTGCTGCTTTTCTCACTTCATGTCCACCTGGAGCTCCCTGGCCCTTATATGGATGGCTCCCCATCTTTGAAACTCCCTCTTTTTATTTCTATGCCCTGGATGCTCGAGGCTTTTTTCCGGAATTCTCGGGCACACCCTCTCTCCTTGCTACGTGTGATTTTTCCCCAAGAATGTACACAAGGACCCCTCTCGCTCTATTCTCTTACCCTTGCCAACTCCTCGTAAGCCCATGGCTTCAACTCTCAGCTCTGGGAAGAGACCTCTGAAGTTGGTTGTCTTTCACCCTGACTCTCTTCCCAGCTCCAGGCCACAGGGCCACCCACCTGCAAACCTCTCCACAGAGAAATCTTATCTGGACCACCAGCAAACAGGCCCAAATACTTCTCCATGCATCCTCTGAAATCCCCGCCCTGTCTTACCCTCCTCCCCATTTCTGCAACTACAACCTGCCTACAAGTATGTCCCGCCTTCTCTGAAGAGCCATAGTCCTTTGCCTCGGCTCCCGTCACAGTCGACCCTTCCTACAGTGCAGTCTAGTTATCTGCCTACAGGTCTCCTCTAATCTGTCAGCTCGCCTACCGCAGGGCTCAGTCCTTTTAGGCTCGGCATTCCACAGTGCTTGGCACACAGTAGGTAATAAACGAATGAATGAAAACATCCTTCACCACCACACCTATAAATGCTTTTGTAGACACTTCACTTCCTTTCCAAGTTCTCTTTGCAATCTCTCACTCTAAGCAACCATGTGCCAGGTACCTAGCTAGCTAGACACTGGATACTGCTCCTCTGGCTTCTACTTCTGCTTCTATTAATATTAATGTTAATACTAATACCACAGCCACTACTATAAATAATAACAATAGCCATCCAGTACTCTCTGTGTGTGAGGTGCCATAATAAGCATTTATGGGGATTATAGCATTTAATCTTAACACCTACCGATGAGATAATATTTTCCCCCCATGTTACACCCCCATGAACAGCTGAGGCACAGAGGGAAACTGAATAACTTCCCTGCCTTCCAGCCCTTAGCCCAGCCAGGAAGACAGGCCGTGGACTCACAGTCGCAGTGCTGAGTGCTGCGAAGGGAAAGCATGGGACACAACAGGAATGCCTGACAAGGGGTCTAGTTCAGGACAAGGGCCAGGGGTGCTTTCCTGAAGCAACCATGCTGACGGGGGGGATCTGAAAGGCAAAATCGGAATAAGCCAGCAAAAGAGGGTAAAGGAAGAGGCCTGATCAAGGGGGAGGCTGACCCTAAGAACTAAGTCATGCCCCCCCCCCCAAGAAGCCAGGCCCTGGTGACGGAAAAAGGCCACTGTCCCCAACAGAGAGCCCACCCCCGGAAACCACCCGGGGCCCTGGAAGGAGAGCAAATCTGCTTTGGCCCTCCTGGGGGCTGGGAACTACCTCCCAAGTGTAGTTCCTATGTTCCATTCATATTTAAATACAGGATGCACTTATAATCAAATCCCTATGGACTCCAGCTTTAAAAAAAAAAAGGTCTTCATGGGGCCATATTATTTTAAGACCTTAACCACCAGGTATTAGCAGAATGTAACAATAGAATTTAATTTACCAAAAATGTAGAAACTCTTCCAGAATTCCACAAAAGCATGCTGTGCCACCAAGTCAAAGAGGTTTAGTCTCAGAGAGTGGCAGCAATCGTAATCCAACGGAGGCAAGTCCTTTCGTCGGCTTGTGCCGCGGCGTTAGCCCCACAACAGAACTAAGTGGATTTCTTAGATTTGCAACCACCTGAGACACAACTTCCTTCTTTTCCTTTCCTTTCTTTCTTTCCCTTTTTTCCTTTCCCTGCAACAAAACAGAATCATCCCAAGCCCTTTCCTGTCGATGTAAATTCCCTGTGTCTCCTTTACTATGGCTCCAACGCGCTATAAATATACAGCTTTCGTGACATAAACGCAAAGTTTTATTGTGCCGTTAGCCTTGATAGAAAGCATAGCGGAAAGTTGTTTAGAAATTAAATATCTAAAACATGCTATTTTAGAATCCAGGGCCCTCACTATTTCATGTCTGCAATGAAGAAATTCCATCTTGGGGAGAGCAAGCTGTCTTTCACACCATATGGCTAATGGTGGTGCATAGCAATTAGCCAGGCTGATTAATGGTGAACAGACTCTAATTTTATGCTTATAATTGAGCCTGCATTTGCACCCCTGGTGCAAATTCAGCACATCCCAACTTCCACTTACAACAGGCAAGAAATCAAGAGAAATAGAATGGTGTGGAAAGTGAGATTTTTTTTTTCCTAAAGCCCCCTAAAGAGCATCAGATTTGCAATTTAAAAGACTGTTAGCCACACAATAGATGACAGGTTTGTGTAATAGGGTCATGGCGGCCTAGTAAACAAACAGTACCCCTTACACATCTATAGGCAGCCAGGAAAACCATAATCTGTAACATTAACAGGATGACATTTTGAATATGGCTTTTCCCCTCTCAGCCACGCAGTACAAACATCATCATTTGCCTTCAGTGGCTTGAGAATTTTATTTTTCCTATTTTTATGTTTCTGAAAAATAGGAAGAACATCAGCAGTAAAGCACAGCAACCAGCATAATAAGATACTTTGGACCAATGAATTTTAAGAACAAGAAAAATATAAACTGCATTAATAGAGGGTAGGCTTGTGTGTGAAAGGCATAATATATCTTTAAGCATTTCAAGAACAGAATTATTTCTAGCAGAGTCCAAACGTGCAGATCTGAGATGCAAATCTATGATATATAGATATTAGTTGGCCTATTGGTTGAGATCCATCTTCCTGTCTGTCTCCTGTTTTGCTAGAATCACATGTAATAGAACATTGAAAATTCATTCTAATGACATGCTAATTGTGGGAAGCTAAAGTACAGTCTGGAGAATAGAAATCCAAAGGAGGTCATTTTTTAATGATTTTACTCGCTTAAATCTGAAAAGTGCAACTCGGCTTTAATCCTACAGTTTCTGTATACAATATAACACTAATTTTTGCCTAATAATATCTTCTAAGAAATCTATGACCATGTTTTTGGATTTTGCTACTGCTTTAGAGGTGAAGAAAAGCAACCTGTTTTTGGAATAATTAACAAGTTTTACAAATCACTGAAGCAAAAACTTGTGAAACTCCTGTATATTTTAGACTAATACACTAAAAGTATTTTTTTTTAAAAAAGAAAAAAGGAAAATTTTAGATATGTACATAATTCTAGATAAAGAAGTTAATATCCGAGATATCAGTAAGGAAACACATTAAGCCCTTTCTAATTTATTTCCAACTGTAGAGTTTAAGACTGATTTCCCCACAAGTCCGTGAGCAGCAAATAAAGCCCACCCATGCTGAGGCTCTAACAGGACTGGTCAGCAATAGTCAGGAGCCAAGCATGCTTGAGCCAAGCCTGAATGGCTAACAAAGCAATTAGTAGCCTTTCTCTGATGCATAGTGGCATCTTCATGCTTTATCCAATTACCCTGAATATATTGGGAGCAAAGTACCAGCGTTGTTTTATGAACAATAAGAATCCTAAACTGCTCGCCCACAGGTGGAGGACAGGCTGAGACCATGGAACTGAGTGTGGTCCACGTGCCTGTCTTTAAATGTAGCTTCAGTAGGATATCAGTCAAAAATAAAGACACTCATTTGCAAGTGACATGAATTTGTATAGCTTTCAGGGACTGGTCTCTGTTACCCTTCCAAAAGCTCGCTACCCCTCAGAAATATTAGCTACATTGTCATAGTTATACACAGGGTAACTAAGATTAAGAGGTCAGCGTCAAGGGGGGGAATGAAAGAAAATCCACGCTCAGTTTAAGGAGGAATGCTGCCTACGTGAGGACATCCTATTTGTTGTTGCTGTTGTTGTTGTTAATCTTCATTGGAAGATATTATTTCCATTTATTTTTAGAGAGTAGAAGGGGCAATGGAGGGAGGGAGAGAGAGAGAGAGAGAAACATCGATGTGAGACACATCGATTGGCTGCCCCCTGCACACCGGGACCGAACCTGCAACCCAGGTACCCGCCCCCAACCAGGAATCAAACCCAAATCTCTGTCCCTTCCATGTGTGGGCCGACACTGTAAACACTGAGCCACATCAGCCAGGGCCAGAAGTCCTATTTTTAATTGGGAGAATTGAAAAGGGGAACTATATCTTAAGTCTTATCAAAGAGAGGCTCCTGCTGACATCAATAGAACTCTAACTCATCTTACTAGCAATGTGGTTGAGTGCATATATTAACACTAAAAGGGTTATATTGTATTTTATTCCATTGAAAGGAAGTAGGGGAGGGTACCGCTCTGTGCCCATTAACAGTGTGATATCAAAATGGAAATGTATGTCTTACAGGATGAACTCTGATAAATAATTGAGAACCACTCTGATGCCTGACAATTTAGTACCAAATATTCACATCTATCGGTTCTTTTTAGATTGTCTAGTAGAAACGAGATAAATGTGTCCCCCAAAATAAACCTGAGTTCGCCTAGATTTGAGATACAAATTCATCTTCTGTCTGCTAATTAGAGGGAGAGAACGGAATTTCTTACCTGCACATGATCTCGTGTGTGAGCAAGACTCGGCACATTTCTGGGTTCTTGTCTTGGCCTTCATACACTATGGCCTGTAAACAAAGGCAGGATTTGAGCTAAGAATGGAACCAAGTAGCAGAGAACAGACTATCACAGTGGAGTTCCTGACCACTTCCCCACTGCTGCAGGCCAATTAGCTTTCAGGAGCCTAGAGTCTCCCTGGGCTGATGGTTTCAAGATACTTTGTTAAGGATCAACCCAAATTGAGTGGAAGGGGCCTGTCAACCACCTTAGTATGACACACATCTTTGCATCAGTGTATGAGATGGGTGACTGTCATCAACACAACCACAATTCTCCTCTCAATTCAGAATAAAATAAATCTAATCAATGACGAGGGGGGAAACCCAGCAGATTTAGCAGACTGAGATACTACTGATTTAAAATACCAAAAAGGGCAGAGATCTGTATGTATCTGCCACCTCATTTTACTACTTCCAGCCCCAACATGTAGTGTTCTAGAGGTGAGCAGTAGAAAACGAGTGGAGGCATGATCAATGAGTCCCTTCACTCACTGTCTCCTCTGAGATGACTCATCAATCAGGAAAATCCCTCCTTCCCATCAGCAGGCTGAAAACACGTGCTCTCCAGGGTGTATACCCACCCAAACAGTAATGCTCATCAGCATATGTGTGGGCTTAAGCCACACAGCCATCTCCTTAAACTAAGAATTACATCTGACTCTCAAAATCTGGAGTCCCAAACCACCTCCCCAGCCAAGATGTTTCTGTCTGTTTTTAGTAACGTGTGTACAAACATTTTGCTTAAGATCACTAGGAAGTTTCCCTGAGAACTCAGCTCCCTGGAAGATCTACACGTTCATACCTGAGCCAAAGAAAAACAGCTACTGGGAAAGCATTTGGGATACAGTTTAACTAATTTAACACTGTATCACTGCATAATACTAATATAACACAGCTTCAAATTGTTAATAAAATTACTTTCACACATTCACATAACCCTTGATTGCTTGGTGATAAAACTATTTAAATTAACCAGAGACTATCCTTATTTAGTACATACAAATGCTACAGTAACTAACTTGTGGTTAGTTGGCTCTAATATGCTTCGTTTATGAACCTGGGACTGAAGATAATGAGGAGAGCTTAAGACACTTTGTGTGGAGACCCTTGAGCAGGCTCTGGTTAAGATACCTAATACCATTACAAAACAAAAGTAGCAACAAATTTAAAAATGACAAAAGCACCTGCATAAAAGAAAACATTTCCCTATACCATTGGCCCATTGAAACGATTTTTTTCATGTCTAGCCTATCATTTTTAAGGTGTTACTTTGACAGAATTTTAGACTTACAGAAAAGTTGCAAGAATATATAAGAAAGCCGAGATACTCTACCCAGACTCCTCAAATGTTTACATTTTACTAAATTTGCTTTACTCTTTTCTCTCTCTTCTTCCCTGAACCATTTATTAGTAAATTGCAGACACACCCTAAACACTCAGCATGTATTTCCTTAAAACAAGGAAATCTCTTACATAACCACAGTACAAGTATCTGAATCAGAAAATTAACATTGATACAATACAATAATCTAATCTACAGACCTTATTGAGATTCGCCAATTACCCAATAATGTCCTAACAGGAAAAAATCCAATAGCAATCATTGCATTCAGCTGCTACGTCTCTAATATGGAATATTCCTGAGTCTCTGCATTTCGTGGCATTGACACTGTTGAAGAGTAAGGCCATTTCTTTCGTAGAACATCCTCAGTTTGGGTTTGCCTGATGTTTCCTCAGACTTAGACTAAAGTTATACAATTCGGCGCCAGAATACCACAGACCCACGTGGTGCTGAGTTCTGTTTTCTCAGTGTAAACTAGAACTCACTGTCAACTAGTTCCACCACTGGCAGTCAACTCTGACCATTTGGTGAAGGCAGTGCCTGTCATCCACCAGTGACCATCAGCCAGACTTTGGCCCCTTAGGTAACTCACAACTATCTTCTGGGGAGACCATCTAGATTGTGCCAATATTCCATTATCCCTCCAGTTTTCATTCTCTAGTTAGGGCATGCATTGATGACTCTTTCCTGTATTCTTTATTATCATTATTATTATTATTATTACTATTATCATTTTAAATCCTCGAGCAAGGATTTTTTTCCATTGCTTTCCAGATAGAGTGGAACGAAGTGGGGGTGGAGGAGAGAAATATCTATATGAGAGAGACACATCTATTGGTTGCCCCTCACACTCACCTAGATCCGGATCAGGGATGGAGCCTGCAACCGAGATACGTGCCCTTGGCCAGAGTGAACCTGGGACCCTTCAGTCCGCAGGCCGATGCTTTAACCACTGAGCCAGACAGGCTAGGGCATCTTTCCTGTATTCTTAAAGAAACTTTTCAAATACCCAAGAAGTTGCTTTACTCAAGAAAAATCCATTAAGCGAATTGAGAACATTTTGAAAATCCAACAATTATATCTGCCTGCTTTATTTACAGAAATCATGGCTGGAAAACCAAAGAAAAGCTGTAAATAAATGATTCCATCTCTCACATCCTCCGAATGGAGGAAACCTGTGGAGTGGGACTCAGGCAGAGACAGTTCACCTCCAGCCTCACCCAAAGCAGTTTTTGTCACCAAAAGGGCTTGTTTAAAAACGCACACATGCTAGCACGTAAAAGGTATGGGGCAGCAAATCAACAGCCTAATGAGATCCAATACAGGAAAACAGGATAAAAAATTCTAATCCCTCATTTCTGTAAAATCCTACTATCACTACATTTCGTATGTTCTCTTAATATCCCTGATAACCTCCGTTTCAACTTTAGTTTCTTGTCATGCTAAATTAGTACAAGTAACTTGGTCAGTAAATTCACAGGTATTGATGGGGTTTCCCCTCCTGTAAAAAAAATTTTGAAAAAAGTTTTTTCCTTTGGTGAGGAGGGACTATCAGTTACATCAGACCTTGTTTTGATTGTTTCTAGATGACAAGTATTATTTTTACTGAGGCTGCCAGTTCCATCAAAAGCAGTGGGCCCCTGATGATATTCAATTAAAGATACGCTGCAAAAATGCACGTGACACTCCAAACAGTCAATAACCCACGAACTCCCAGGAAGCCCGTGTTTCCACCTGTGGTGACGGAACATCATTTGCTGAAGTTCCAGGGTCTCTGTAATACGCCTCTCCACCCAATGCCAAACTGCCACTTGGCCTCTGGCAACAGAGTCCAAATGGAGAATCTTTCTCCAAATCAAGCCGAGACAAATGAAAGCATGAGCTCGGATTTGCTCAGAAACGGTTAGGAGCTCCGGGGAGAAACGAAGCGTGAAGTTTCTGCTGTCCCTTTCCTTGGGGCCTCAACAGGACAACATTTTTCAGCACCTAAACGCAGGGAAAGGCGTGCTGGCTGCTTCTGTGACTTCTGAGTAAAAGCGAGTGAGACAGGGCGTCTTCTCGCTGTCCCGCGAGGAGAGCTAACATCCTCCGAACGGAGGAAACCTGTGGCGTGGGACTCAGGCAGAGACAGTTCACCTCCAGCCTCACCCAAAGCAGTTTTTGTCACTCAAAGGGCTGGTTTAAAAACGCACACGTGCTAGCACGTAAAAGGTATGGGCCAGCAAATCAACAGCCTAATGAGATCCAATACAGGAAAACAGGATAAATTCATTTTGGTGAATTTCTCTAAGGCAGAGAGTGTCAACACTAAGACAGACTTTTTAAAAATGCCACCAAGTTCACCCTCCTGCGTAGACACGCAACTGACAACCACACGTTAACTCTCTACCATCGACAGCCGGGACACACGCCCAGGCTGGTTCACAGCTCAGCAAACCAAGACTTGAAGCCTGAAGGGAAGGGGTCCTTCGCCACCAACTGGGGGAGAGGCTTCTGCTTTTCCTCCTGATTTGAATGTGTGCCTCCGAGGGGCGTGGGTGAGGCTGGCTGAGGCCGCCTCAGCTGGGGGATCACAGCAGCATATAAACAGCACGGACTGTTCTGAGTGAAACCATTTTCATAGACAGCTGGTGTAGGGCCCAAACAATGGGACACCAGGAGGAAGGCTTACTTCGTCCCCACAGTCAGCCACGCGTCTGCTGCCTGCGAGGAAGGTAGTCTGCTGTGCGAACCACACAGACAACGGTGGTTTAAGTAAATCAATGTGTCTCCCAGGCGTGAGGGTGGGGGGCCGGCTACGGAGATGGGTGGGAGGCGAAGGGGAGGCATTTTAGAAAACAGATTATTTAAATAAGTGAGCGGACGGTAAAGCAAGTTGAAGTTTTAAGCTAAGAAACAAAAAAATACAGCATCAAGTAGAAAACAATGTTTACATTAACCCTACCAATGGCGAGTAAATGCCTTAAGGTGGCAGGAATGCTTGTTCAGGAAGAAAAGTAAAAAAATAAACAGAGTTAACTTCATCTCAACTTTTAAAAAAACCTGGTGAAATCCACACACGAGTTGGCAAAACCCGACATATTTGGAGCGGATTTATTTTTCTGATATACTAGCCTCCCTTTTCTTAGTTAAGCAGAAAGAAAATATGCAATTATTTTTAATACTCTATTACTTTTAGAGTGAGAGGTGTGTTTTGCCCCCAGAATAATGGTTTAAAATTAACAAAACAAAAAAAGAAAAAAATAGGAATTGTTCAACTTTCGCATCCTTACGCAACAAGGCAGGAGGTTTACCGTGAGAGGGTCAAGTGCCATCGGTTTCAAATGCCCGATTATAAATTAACCTATAACAGCTTTGAAAGGAAATAAATCAGTCAATAGTGAAGATGTGCCTTGGCTGCCACTGTTTTAGAAGGCGTCTTGGGAAGTGCGGCCCATCCCTGCTTTTCTAAAATATCACTGGGTTTTAAAAGTTAATTGAAACTCACTGTGGATAAAGACCACACAGTAAAACGAAAAATGCGCGGTGAACGTGCACCAGGATCACACTCCAGTAGGATGCCGAAGGAAACACAGAGAATTAAGCAGGGCTCTCTTTGTTTACTTTTCTAACAGTTTTAACTCTCTGTGCTCTTTCCCGAAAGAAACAGGATGGGCAGAACATTTTT